GAATCTGTGTATTGTTTTTGGTAGGATGGCCCTTTTTACAAAGCTAATTCTTCCAATCCATGAGCTGGGAATATCATTCCATTTCTTTACGTCTTCTTCTATTTTTTTTAACAATGTCTTATAGTTTTATTGGCACAGGTCCTTCACATCTTTTGTTAGTTTATTCCTAGGTCTTAATTTTTTTATTCTTAGGTATTAATTTTTGGGAGTAATTGTGAATAGATGTTTTGTTAATTTCTTCCTCTTCTAGCTCAATTTTTGCATAATAGAAACTGATTTTTGTGTACTGATTTTATAACCAGTCACTTTGCCAAACTAATTTATTGCTTCAATTAGTGTTTTTTTCCCCCCAATGGAGTCTTTAGAGTTCTTTATGTATATTATGTATATTATCACATCATCTACAAATGATGGCTTTGTCCTTCCCTTGTTGGCATTCCTTTTAAATCCTTCTTTTGCCTAATTGTTCTAGCTGAGAGTACTGATTTGATGTTTATTTGAACACCTACTATGTCATTGCTTTATACTCTGGGAACACAGTAAAACAAACTGACAAAAGTTCCTGCCCTTGGGATGCTTACCATTCTAGTGAGGGAATGGCTTACCTGTAATAAATATAAAACATACAGTAGTAAGTGCTATGGAGAAAAACTGAGTAGTGCACATATGTGGTTGGTGGTAATTTTACATAGGTTGATCAAGGAAAGTCTCACTCCAGGTTGACAGGTAACTATAACCTGAAAGAACTAAGGGAGAATGCCACATACAGACCAGGAAAAAACTATTTCAGGCAGTGGGAAAACAAGTGTAAAGGTTAGAGGTATGAACAAAGAAGTTCTTTTGGGTATTCTTTCCATTTGCTTTGTTAGTGGCTAAAGGTTGGAGTGAGCATCTTTTCACACAAATATGCTCCCCAGTCTCCCCTCTCCCCCCTGTACCCCTTCTTCTTCTCTCCGCTCCTTTCCTCTCTCCCTCTCCCTCCCTCTTTCTTTCTCTCTCTCCTTCCCTCCCTCCCTTGCTCCCCCCACCATAACTTTATTTATTTATTTATTTTTAAATTTTTAAAAATATTTATTCATTTATTTATACAAGCACTGGGTACAGTCAGAAGCGCAGGAGGGTGAGAGAATTCACCAGAGCCAGAGCGGGAGCAGAGCAGGCAGAAGGACCAAAGTACACCGCTGAGGGGAGCAGGGGGCGGCAGGAGAGGTCTGCGCGCCATGTGGGACCCTCCTCCGGTGGCCGGGGAGCAGCCAGGGATTGAACCGGCGCTGCAGATGCTGCGGGCAGCTTCGCAACCCAGAGCTCAACCACTGCGCCACCGGGGAGGCCCCCCACCACAACTTTAGATAGGCCAACTATAAAATATCTACCTACAGCCTAGAACACAACTGAACTCCAGAGTCTAATGAGTATTTCCACGTAGTTGTATCACAGGCAATACACAATCAACATGTACAAAACTTTTGCCCAAACTCATCCATATATTTTGTTTCAGAAAAGAACACAATCATTCACCTAATTATCTAAAGCAGAAAGCTTGCCTTTCCCTTACCAACCACATTGATTCTATCTTCCAAAGTATCTCTTTAATGTGGCTCTCTCTTTACATTCTTTCAGCAATTGCATTTTTCTGTTTTTGGTTTTCAGCATACAAGTGATCTCCATTTCTCATTACTTTCATGTACTAAACCTAAACCCTTGGTTATCTCCTATAATTTCCTTTTCCTGTCACAAAGACTTTGCCACTTTGGTTAGATCCTCCCTTTCTTGCATCACCTTTTTTTCATATTGGATCTTCCCATTAGCATGTACATTTTCTCTAACAAATATAGCCTTACATCCTACAGACTCCCTTAGATACCATTTCACTTCTCAGCCTCCCTTACACAGCCAACGTTGTTCTATCTGCCTAGTAAAACATAAGCAGGAACTTTAACTCTGAATTAATGTATGAATATATACATACATATACATAACGATCTCTCCTCTCATTCATTGAAGTTGCTCCAATGTGGCTTCCCTCTTTTCCATTGTAATTGTCAAGGTTATTGCCAATAATCTACACATCAAAACTTTATTTTTCACAAACTCCCTGATGATTTCTGACAGGTAGCCAATTCCTTCTTGAAATACTTTCTTCTCTAGATTTAGGTGTTTGACATTTAATGAAGGGAAGAATAATTGCTTTGTCTCACCATTATAATGCAGGGGGCCTTGCTGCCCCAGCCAGATAGGATACTGACAAGCAGCTAAGAGAGGGGGGCCTCACACCATGGGGTCAAAGCTAAAGGGCCTCACACCGTGGGGCTGAAGATCTGGCATCCTTTGCTTTTTGTTCTTGGTCATAGAGAGAGAAAAATTTATCAGAAAGTATATTAGGCAATAAATTATATGTATCAGCATACTGTAAGTAAATAGCATGGAAAATTGTTTGTTTAGAAATTAGTTGTTGGGCAGTTTGGCCCACTTTGCAATGGGAAGCGGTTGTTGTGCAGCAATCCAGCACAACAGTTGTAGTGGGTCTTTCTTTTGCCTTCTTTTGAAGTTTCTTGGGAAAGTTTTTAAATGAAGCTATTTGAGTTAGGAGTTTCTAAGTAGAAAAAGTTCTGATAGCTGAGTAGCAGCCGGTCCCGGCTGAAGGCCACACGAATAAGAGGAGTCTTTTCTTGCTTAGGCTTTGGCTGATAGGGATGTACTGGCGGCTATCCACTGTCTTAGGTTATTGTTTAGCTGAAACAATGAGTTCTAGTGTAAGGCTTAGTTTTTTATTAACCTTGAAGGTTGCCTTCTTACTGAGAGCACGTAGTGGCCAAAAGCTTATGGAAAAAGAGATGCACTGATTGTTTCTGTTTTGTTTCTATGCACATGATAATGTAATCTCACTGCTTGCAAAAAATGTATAAATAAAGAACCTGCTGAGCCTCTGGGCAGAAGATACTAACACCTCACCAAGTGTCGGTGTCTCCTCATTCTACCTCATCCCCTTCCCCTCAGCCCTTGAGTTTCAGCCCCTTACAAGTCGCCGAGGCTGTCTCATCCTTTCAGGAACCCCTGACACATTTTGCCGGAGGCTGGTCCCCGGCATTATATCACTCTAAATTATTGGGCAACCGTGTCTTCTGGGCTAACAGCGCCTCCAGACCATACTTTTTCAATGTGCAATTCTAGAATCCTTGCTGCCCAGGTCTCCCAAGCATTTATTTGTGCCTCTGCTATGACATACATCTTTCTGAAATGCACTAATTCCAACCACACCCATCATTTAGGCAAGCCTTCCCCTATCAACATTTTCTTTTTCTTTTCTGCCAGATATCTTCCACAAAGATCCCTCTTCACTTTGATGATTAATAAATATTTCTCAGGAAGATATTTTGAAATTATGCAAAATCTTACTCCTCAGTACTCTGTCACCCATTAATTTTAGCACTGATATTTCTTGTGTGCATAATTACAATGAAAACCACCAAAAAAGATTTTCTCATGACCATATTTTTTTAAGTGGTGATATAACTGACATATAACATTGCATGAGAGAGAGAGAGAGAAAAAAAATGGATTTCGAAGAAATAATAGTTTCCCCTCACGGGCAAATATGCAGCCAAATAAACCTTGCTCAAAGTGGTGGGCTGAAGGCCCAAAGCTTGCCACAAGTCTAAGGTAACTTCTGACAGAGAACCAAAAGAAAGTGGTTAGAAGCGATAAAACCCAGTGTTAGCCAGTACTGGCAAGCATTACTTTTATTATCTATAGTTTCCTGGTTACTGACAATGACTTGCTAACTTACGACTGATTCTAAAACTAGCTGAAGGTTTTCTAGGATAAAAACTATGGAAAATGACCCCCATACCGTAAGTGCAATTTATCTGTACTACCCAACATTAAGTTTTACAGTCAACAAAGACCGTAGTCTTAGATACGTTTGGTGATGCGCCAACCAAGAGTTCTATTGGGACCGCGGCCCCGCGCGACAACCTCCCCGTTTTCAGTGTAGGCTAAAAACCTGGAACAGAAACACGGGCTCTCTCCATCCCAGGGTCGGATGAAAACCCCGGGTTGGGGTGGGGACCACACCGCACCCGCTCTGAGAGGCAGCAGTCAAGACGCGAAGTGGAGAGCTCGAGAAAGTGAGGACTCACCATCAGGAGGGTGAAACCCGAGAGGTCGGGGACCGATTCTTCACAGGGAACAAACATGGTCGCAGCGAGGTGGGAAGGAGGGGCTGTGTGTCGGCCTGGCAGAAACTAGAGCGCTGACACTGCAGCACCACGACCCAAGAGCCGCTCCCCACGCGGGGTCCCTGGGGCCGAGAGCGACGCCGCTCGCCGAGGACCCGCGGGCGGGGTCCTTCGAGTCCCCGGGCGCGGGGTCCTGAGGTTTCCGCCCAGCTCCCTGCCTCCCTGCCGGGCACCAACGCAGATCGGGACCGGATCCGGGAGAGAGACAGGGGCGGGCAGCGCACCCCGAGACCCTGGGAAGGCCGGGTGACGGGACGCGCTGAACTCGCGGGGCAGGAACCCCGGGATAGAGGGAACGGCAAACGGAGACGCTCAGGCAGGGCGAGGGGCAGCCCCGGGGCCTTGCGCTCCGCCGCCGTTTGAAAACAACAGTTGGGCGCGCTCGGCCCGGGGCTGGTCGCTGCGTGGTGCGCCCCCCCCACCACCCCGCCCCACAGCTGCGCGCGGCGCGTGGCGGCCGGGACCAGGCGCTCAGCACGGACCGACGTTCCCGCCGGGCGGCGGGGCCGCGCGCTAGAAGCGGATCGAGGTGCCGGCCCCAGCATGTCGCTGCCTCCGGAGAAAGCCTCGGAGCTCAAGCAGCTCATTCACCAGCAACTGAGCAAGGTGAGGGGCCGCGGGCGCCGAGAGAGGCCGGAGCCCCCTGCCCGCTTTGTGGCCCAGAGTCGGAAGCCCGGGGGCCCTACCGGGACCGGCCCGCAGCTCACGTTTGCCGGGACTCTAGCAAAGAGTGTGAGACGCGAACTTACGTGGTAAGGACAGAAATTTCGGGTCTGAAACCAGAGGAGCTTCCTAAGCTGGGTGAGAGAGAACAGCGCAGAGTGCTCTGTTAAGAGTCTGAAAGTGATCCAGAGGCGTTAGTGTTCAGAACGGTTGTGAAAACAAACCGTTTATGGAGAGGTTTCTGGAGGCAGCTCGAGTGTAAGTTGAGTTTGGAACAGGCTCGTATGCACAGGTCAAGAATCGGAATTAACCTTGAGGGTGAGATTTGGATGTAATTGAGGTTGAACCTAAACAGCAGTTCCCAAAGAAGTCACGAAAGAGAAGTTAGTTACTGAAGACTTTGGAGTGAAGCATTTGTGACTTCAAAAGTTCAAGAAGGCATTGTCTTTGAGGCACTCAGTCTAAATGCAGTAAGCTGAAGTAATAAAAGCTATGGTTTATTGTGCACTTGTGTGCCAGACTTTGTGCTGTGTTTAGCATCCAGAGATTAGCTGTCACAATACACCCGAGAGAGCACCACTTTTTTTGTTTTTTTTTTTTTTACTAGAAAGCTAAATGGAAAATAAGTTATTTCAGGGTTACATGTATTAAGTTGAACGCTGACATCCACACCAGCTGTGCTCCAGGTCTGTGTTCTTTTGCTAATATTAGTATAATTTTCCATTTCTTTTGGTTCAGTGTTATTTGTGGGGAAATGATAACAAAGGTAATAGACAAGGAGAGATTATTTTTAGAATTTCCACTAAAAATGTCATATTTCAACATTGTTTCATTTAAAAAACTTAAATTTATTCACGGAATTCTTGTAACGATTTTATAATTACTATTAGCTTGAGAAGCCCAAACCTCAGATTTTCTGAATTTACTCTATATGTTCTCCCATTGTCTTTGGGGAGAGGTATTTTTGAAAGAAATTAGCTATTTGACTGCTTTGAAATGTTGTAAATTATAATATGAATTTCTATGTAGATGGATGTACATGGTAGAATAAGAGAAATCCTTGCTGAGACAATACGGGAAGAATTGGCGCCTGATCAACAACAGTTATCAACAGAAGATTTGATGAAAGCCCTTAGACGTCGTGGAATCATTGATGATGTGATGAAAGAACTTAATTTTGTTTCTGTGAGTAATCCTTTAGGGGAAAAATTGAGAGTATTAAGTATACTTAATGCTGCTTATGCAGTCCATATTTGAAGCCTCATCTTTCAATAAAACCACTTTAAAATAAAACCATTTTGTTTAGTAATACCCCTCCCCCCCTTTTTTCCAATATCAACTACTCTTGAATATAACAGGTAGGTTTATGTATCAATAAATTTGGAGTTATAGACCTTACTCCTCTCTAGAGGAGTAGTGTTTTCTCTTGTCATTTTCTAGGTCTGTAACTTTTAAGTACATATATTTTAGTGAAATTAGTTCAGAACCTAGTTCTTTTTCACTATAGTTTTGTGGGTTTTTTCCCCCAGATTAGGCCTACTTGTAAAATAAACACTTTGGCACTGTTTTCTACATGATTAGCAAGCATCTCTTTCTTGTAAGAAAATAATTGCATATAAGAACCTTCAAATATTTTCATACAAATAGGTCAATAGTGGGATAGCCTCTCTGCAGAAATTACTAACTAGGCCTTTTGAAATGAGGCAATAATGAGAAACTGTGACCTCAAAACCTGAGTATTATAATGTAAAAATTGGATGGGAATACACCAGGGGAATAAGTATTTTGGTACAGAATCCTCTTTTGGTTTTTGAGGCTTATGAACCCATTTGTTATAAAAATTGACATATTAGCTTCTCTGTGACTTATCATTTCCTTAATAAAATCAGTTTGTGGTAGAATCATAAACCAAATGTTACATGAGATTTTGAGAAAGTTTAGTCTTGTTTAAGGTAGTAAGGATTTGTTTTTAGCAATCTGGACATTCCTTGTCGACAGTTCCTTGCTATGGGTCTTCAGGAGTGACCAATTACACCATCTTTTATTCAGGGCTTTGTTATTTTGATTATAGGAAATTAAGGGTGGTATGTAGTTTTGGTTTTTTTCTTTTTTGAATCAGTGGTTCCCTTTATTGGCATGTCCTGATTAACTGTATATTTTGTTTTCTAATTTGTTTTGATTTTTTTTTACCTTTCTAGGACAGTGTTGATCAAGAACTCCCCTCTTCTCCAAAACAATCTGTTTGTTTTACTGAGAGACAGTCAACATTGTTAAAAAAAAGTATGTGTAATTTTTTTTTAACATTAATTATGGATAGTATTGCATGTTGATGTGCTCTAGTTTTTGGTATTTGATAGAAAAAAAATTTCCTTTTTTTTCCCCCAGGATGAAATACTTATATTTTTGTTAATCAGTGAAAAAATTAAGACTTTTGCATGGAATATTTCAGAAGATATAATATATAGCAGAGTATAAGAGAAATCTGTTTCTTATAGTTTAGTAATTTTTATAAAAAACCATATAGCCTTGACTTTTGTAATGGTACTATAGTTTTCTAAGAAATATGCTTGTTGACTTGATAATTATTGAGTTGGCTTGTGGTAAAGGGTAGTTAGATACTAAATAAAAAGTAAATGTATCCTAAAACTTGACCTTGACATCTTTATAAGTGGGAGAAAGTAGCTAGAATGTACACTCAAAAAAGATACATTTTGTATCTCTTCTTCCCAAAGTGCAAATATAGTCCTGCTATGCAGTAAAATTTGTTACACTTTTTATTTATTTTTATTTTTTTTGGTCTTCGGTTTTATTCCTGTCAAGTTATTATTTCCTGTTGTATTGATCACATTCCCTAAGTTATTTGGCAGTTTCCTCATATTTATTGCTACACTTTACAGCTAATATTGATCCAACTCGGAGGTATCTTTACCTTCAGGTTTTGGGTGGAAAAGCTTTCTTGGAACATCTGCAAGAACCTGAGCCTTTACCGGGACAAGTTTGTTCAACCTTTACTTTATGTTTACATTTTCGGAATCAACGTTTTCGTTCTAAACCTGTTCCATGTGCCTGTGAACCAGATTTTCATGATGGCTTTTTACTTGAAGTACACAGAGAAAGTTTAGGTAAGAAGTAGTAATATACAATCATTTGAGTAAATCTTTGTTAGGTTTCATTGCAGAATAACTATCTTTTGTTGAATGATTTACAATTCATGAATTTCTCTAGTCTTTTTAAAAATTTTCCCCCATTGCTCTTTTCTGTATAAACTACTACTGCCCACCTTTTTGGTTTATTTTCTGCCAATTTCTCTGAAACTTAATTTTTGACAGTTTTAGTGACTTGTTCTTTAGTAAGATTTAAAGGCCTTTGAGACACATGGTCCTGTGCTAAGGCAAGTGCTGGGGATATAGTGGAGAATGAAACATCATCTTTTCTTATTTATGAAAGATGGTTAAATGTATGATGTTTGATAACTTTTAAATAAGTCAGTTTAGATGTGAAAATATAACTCATTTTTATAACTTCAAGGTTATGATACACAATTCCTATAATTGTTTTATACCGTTTGTTTTAAATCAAATAATTTATAATTAAGATAAAATGATACATATTTAATAATATACTTAATGAGAGAAGTGACATATAGAGACTCACATGGGCTAGTTCTCACAAATGATTATAATTGGAATTCTTTAACACACTTAGTCTGTTTTTACTTTGTAAATTCCGTTGTCTATAAGCATTATAACTATTGACAGTTTTCCTTGGTACCTCTAGCATTTACTCAACATATTACAAATGTATGCACAAAGATTAAAAGGCCAAGTCAAATTTTAATTCCCTAGTATATAATGTTTGTTTCTGTAAAGGTATTTTATATATTTTGTCAATATAGAAATCTTTATATTTGCACATGTAGTAAAGTTGTAGACTTATACTTTAAAATTTTAATATGGTTAATATACAAGTAAAATTTTTTCGTTCTGGTAAAAATTGTTATCCTAATAAGGCATAATGGCTCAATAAGTTAGTGACTTATATTCTTGGCTCCAAGGTGCTAGATCTTTCAGTTTTGTGAATATAGAAATCATTTCATGAGATGTAGGAATTGAGGTAGTTTGGGGATTAATGTTGGCATATATAAAGGCTTTTATTGTCATAGCATATACTTTAGTCAAGTACTTTTTATTTAAAAATTTTTTTTTTTAAAGATTTATTTTTATTTATTTATACAAGCACTGGGTACAGTCAGAAGCACGGGAGGGTGAGAGAATTCACCAGAGCCAGAGCGGGGAGCAGAGCAGGCAGAAGGACCGAAGTACACTGCTGAGGGGAGCAGCGGGCGGCAGGAGAGGTCTGCGCGCCATGTGGGACCCTCCTCCGGTGGCCGGGGAGCAGCCGGGGATCGAACCGGCGCTGCAGAGGCTGCGGGCAGCTTCGCAACCCAGCGCTCAACCGCTGCGCCACCGGGGAGGCCCTAGTCAAGTACTTTTAAAGATTTATTTTATTTATGTATACAAAAGCTGGAGTATAAATCAGAGGCGTGGGGGGCAGAGGGAGGACCGGTGAGAGGATTCATCAGAGACAGAATGGGGAGCAGAAAACAGGTAGATCTACTGAAATAAACTGCTCTGGGGAGCAGCAGGCAAAACAGGAGAGGTCTGCTGCACCATGTGTGTTACCTCCCTGGCTGGGGATTGAACTCGTGCTGCAGTGGCTTCAGATAGCTTCATAGGACTGAGACGTAACCCCTTTGGCCACCAGGGAGGCCCTAGTCAAGTATTTTTAAAGAACAGACTTATTTCTTAAACATCAAGAAACACTGAAAAGCATTACATAACTTGATAGCTTGTTAAAATTATACCAGTCCACTCAAAAGTTGGTGATAGAAATAGGAATGTACTTTTATTGCCAGTCTGTTAAATACTTTGTGAGACATTATCAAATTATTCTCTTTGATTTTATAAAAGTATTATTCAGTGTTGTTTTCAATAAAGGTATTATTTTATATTGACCTAACTAAATATGTAGTGTGGTATAATTTTTTTTCGCTTGTGTTGCTAGGTGATGGAACTAGAATGGCTGATTCAACAACAATGTTATCAATAAGTGATTCAATTCATATGGTGCTAATCAAAACAGATATATTTGGTGAAACCACTTTAGTTGCATCCTATTTTCTTGAGTGGCGATCAGTTTTGGGCTCTGAAAATGGAGTGACCAATCTTACTGTGGAACTTATGGGTGTAGGTATGATCATTAATATCACTGTTACCCTTTCATAGCTATAGTTCATTTGTAAATGCATCTCATTTTTTTATAAACATGTAGACCAAGAATGAGACAAGTGAAAGGAATTTCATAGAATTACAATTGGATTCCAGTATTGCTGTCTTGGTAAATGTTTTGAAGAATATTATGGGTGTAGCACTTCACTAAATCTGACTTGTCTTAAATTTGTTTTTCCCTGGAAAATGAATATGGACATTTTGAGGGCTTTTTTTCCTTCCAGGTTAATTTGACTATATATAAGACTATAAAGAAAATTTAAGATTTTCACTTCCTGTGGTAATGATTCTTGAAGATTATGGAGTAGGCATTGTTCTCACCTTTTACGTGTGGGAAAGTGGGACTCAGACAGGTCCTAACATGCTCATGTCAGCACCAGTGAATGGTACTTCTTGAAGATAGAAATAATGCCTATTTTATTAACCATTGTCTCCTTAGAATCTTATAGTCTACCCCAATGATGGCTTAGATGAGAGAGCGGTGGGAGAGAAGTGCATGTTTTGTAGTAATTAAGGAGAATGAATTTATTTGCTAATACATTGAAAAGCAACAAAATATACCAATATTTTGTGTATAGATTTTGAGTGTTGCTTTTTAGACCTTTCTCACAATACAGAGAACCTACTAATAAACTAAGAACCTACTAATAAACCGACTGAGGTTTACTTAAATAATTCAGGAGACAAAAATATTAAGACACAAACACCACCCTCCCAATTTACATTTTTTAAACTTTCACAAATGTAGTAAAAATCAAATGACAAATGGTGAACTGAGGCAAAAAGAAAAAAATATAAGGGTTTGCTCAAATAACAATTATTTAAGTTGTAGAAATGTCTAGGTATGTGAACGGGTGTGCTGAGCAAAAAACTATAAAACATGACCTCTAAACATGAAAATTAAAGATAAAATAATTCCCTTTATAAGACCTTTCTTTAAACTTTACTAATGGATTTACAAAGTAAACATCTCTGATTCATTTACTTAATAACTAAACCTGGTCCTAGAAGTACAAAGATCAGTAAGGCTAGTCCACCACCAGCAGTTGCAGAGTTAAACCTGCCCAGTAGACAGTATAACCTTAGTAATTTGGATTTTGATAAGTGAGACCCAGAATGTGTTTTTCCTTAAATAGAAGGGAGAGGAAAAAGTTTATTTTCAAAGAAATAATGCCCAGTATTTGTCTTCAGATACAAACCTAACGTGATCAGTAATGACCCAGAAACAAGTATGTTCTGATTCACCAAAGATATGTTAATTATTATGTGAAATGCATTTGTTTTCTAATTCATTAAACCCAGGCATGGATTGAAAATTTGTGCGCGTGGATGTGAAAAAAAAGGGAAGGTATAGGTAGAAATTATTACATGTAACAAAGGGTATAAGTATTTTCTGAGATTGAGATGTTAACAGTTGCTGTGACCTGGAATTTAATGTAAGCGTGGTTGGTATTACATGTTTAATGAAGATACAGATTAAAAAAAACTGAAATGCTTTAGGTCTGAAAAGTACCTTAAAATGTGAATTGGAAACTAAGAAAGTAGGTAATTTCCGTATAACTGGATAAAGGCCCTTGTACAAAATAAAAACCAGTTTGTCTCATTTTTAATGTGAATGTTAAAGGTTGTAGACATTATTGTTATTCTGTGAAAGTGGGAAAATATAAAATTCTTAAGTTATTTTGGTTACACTAAATAAATTGAAACCTCTGAAGCTCTAAAAATTTATTTTTATAGGCACAGAATCAAAAGTGTCTGTGGGAATTTTAAATATAAAACTTGAGATGTACCCACCACTCAATCAAACATTATCTCAAGAAGTGGTGAATACGCAGGTAAATAATTCTGAAGCTCTCTTGTTTTCATACTAGTATATTTATGTGCTGATTCTGGAAAGTACTCTTTTTTAGAAAATCACATATTTTAGGTAAGATAAGTATAGCATAATGTAAAAATTTGTCTTGGAAGAAAACGGATCACATTAACTGTTGTATGGAGGCTGGATTGTACTGTGAAAGTGTAGGAAAAGGGAAATCAGGAGGCTCTATTAGGCAAAAGGAAATGATGGCTTAGATGAGAGAGTGGTGGGAGAGAAGTGCATGTTTTGTAGTAATTAAGGAGAATGAATATAAATTTAAAAAACTTAATTTTTTTTTAAATTTCAAGCTTGCTTTGGAACGACAGAAAACTGCAGAGAGAGAGCGATTATTTCTTGTGTATGCTAAGCAATGGTGGAGAGAATATTTGCAAATTCGACCCTCACACAGCTCACGACTGGTTAAGATTTTTGCACAGGTTTGTAAGTTGTATTAGAAAAGTTTCACACCTATATTTGAGATTTTTTTTAATGTAAATTTCATTAAATTTGAATTTGTAACGTGTATATCCAGACAAATGAAAGTTTATTTGTGAGATAGACTGATGGCTTTGAGTAACTTTGTTTCACTGAGTGAGTAACATAATACAATTATTGTGATATTTTGCTTTTTATTTTCCATTATTTTTTAAAACCTTTTTTTTTAACATTTGATTTAGAGTAGATGGAAACCCATTCTGTTTAATTTGAAGTATATACTTGATTGATACTTAAATACTCGGACACTGCAATTTACATATGAATTCAGCTTTTCTTGTGTAGAACTAGGACTCTGGGCATGTGTTCTTTTGTTAGAGTATTTTTTAAGATGATATTGCATGTAATAATTTATATATAACCAAGATCTCTGAGCAAGTGACCAGTAATATTTACCTCCAGCATTTTTACTGCATAAATCTGTCTCTTTTGTTCCTGTATATTAAGCCTATTTCTCACATTAACAAACCTTCATAAAGTATGATCAAATCCATATTTTTTCTATCTTTTGAGAAGCCATTCAAATATTTTATATGTTCTCAGTCTCATGTAGATTGTTTCATGTGAATATAGTGTAGTTTTCAACTATATTTATCAGAGATTTACATTTATCTAGCTTTATTCTCCTTTTCCTAGATTTTAGGACAGGGTAAAAATGATTCAGTTTCTCCATGAGGAGCTTAGAAATGAGAGATTCCAGTGATAGGTAAAAGAGAAATAGCTCCTTATTTTTTGGTAGCATTGTCTGTACGTTGAATGGGTAGGCAAGACAAAAATGTTGTACACACAAAGCAAAGAGAAACAATGGAAATAATGACTGCTTCCCTTCTGTCTGAGGTGAAGTTATTCATTACCATGCATAATCTGGGACCAGAGAGGATTGTGGGTAGGGTTTGGGAGAGAAAAGATCAGAGAAGTAGCAGGTAAAAGAGGAGAAAGTGAAATAGGATGGAGTATGCAATTAAGGAAATCAAGAAACTGTGATTTTCTTTCAGGAAATACTACTTTTTAAAATTTATTTATGCATACAAGAACTGGGGTATAGGCCAGAGGTGTGTGTGTGGAGGGGGAGAAGTTCACCAGAGACAGAGTGGAAAGCACAACAGGCAGATATACTGAAACACAGTACTAAGGGGAAGTAGCGGGCGAGGCAGGAGAGGTCTGCTGTGTCCTGTGGGTTAGCTCCCTGGTGGGGGATCGAATTCCTACTACAGTGTCTGCCCATAGCTTGATAGTGCTGAGACTTAACTCCTTGTGGCACTAGGGAGGCCCTGGAAATACTACTTTAACAAGTTCTTGTCTCTTAGAGTTTGTCATGAGAAGATTTGAATCATATAAGGTCATTTAATCTCTTGGTAACCATCTGAGATTGTCAAGTTCCCAGGCATTGCCACTTTTTATAAACAATATGAAGAATAGAGAAGTGAAGAGTCTTCTAAGATCAAACTGCAACTTAGTCATAGACTATTAAATTGCAGCTTTGACAATATTTTGTTGTTTTCACCCACTTTTTCCAAAAACAGAAAGTAAGTAAAATGTTTTACTTAAATTCCCTAGTACTGTTTCTTACTGCTTCCTGCATGTAATTAGCTATTAAATAAAGGAGCAATGGTTAAGGCAGTAAATCTAATTACAACAGTTTTAAATCAAGAAATTATTATACATACTTGAAAATGAATTTTCAATGCTATCAGCAACAAGAGGAAATAGTTTTCAGCAAAGTAAAGGTAGATTGATGGAAATGTTCTGTGCCTGCTCTCTGATATGCTAGCCATCAGCCAGGTATGACTAGTTAGCACACGAATTGTGGATAATGTGACTAATGAACTGAATTCTAAACTTTATTTCATTTTAATTAAAAATTAAATAACCACATGTAGTTAGTGGTATTCTTATTAGTGCAGATTTTGAAGCTGTAATACTGAAAATTTCAAGACATTTAAATTTGTGGAGCTATATTTAGATAATATTAGAAATATTGCTGTAATGAAACATATCTTGAGATGCTACTATTGATAATTAATTTGGGCAAATGTATCTACTTTATTGCCTGTTGGTAGAGTTAAAAGAGTAGGACTAACTGACCCACATGAGAACTAAGTATTTACATTGATTCTGACCAAACATCTATCCAAACCGTAGTGTCATTATGCTTAATATAGATTTCGCCTGCAGTCTTGTTCCAATTTTTTTTCTTTTTCTTTATATATTTTTTATATCATCATTCATTTTTAAACAATATTTGCTCCTCTCCTCCCCCCTCAGGTGTTTGTTCCACTTTGATTATGATTTAGTAGGCTTGTTTTTGGGGTCTGGGAATGTCAAAATTTTTCTATATACATTAGTGAAGTAGTGTTTCCAGTTCCAAAAAAGAACCTACCAAATTATGCCAACTAGGAACATTCTTCTTGGGATAGTGGGGGAAGCTTGTAATCCATTGTTCTTTTTTACCCCCTCTAACTGGTTTTGCTGTACTACAGTAGTGATTCACTTAATGATAGCTTTTATTTTTAAATGTGAGAAAATTTAAATTTAAATTTTAGGGTATGACCTTTAAAACTATTAAGGTTTTTTGGTTTGTTTTTGCATTAAAGCTTATTTGAAATTATGATTTTTGCACATAACATTCAATAGTATAGCAGCTGTACTGTTTTGGTTTTGTTTTTTATTGTAAAGCATTTTTAGTGTATGCTAAAATTTTGGCTTGGTCAATTCAAAAAACGTATACCCATTAGTCAGAACCCAGAAAAAATTATTGTAAAATTCTGCCTTCTTTTCTAGTAACCATTGATTGCAACTAGTAATACTTAGACAGCTAAGTTAATGCCACTGATCTTAGTACTGCCTAAAGCCCATTAAGTTGTTTTTTTTTTGTTTTGTTTTGTTTTAAGATTTATTTTTACTTATGCATACAAAAGCTTGGGTGCAGGCCAGAGATGTGGGGGTGGGGAGGGGGGAAGGATTCATCAGAGAGAGAGTGGGGAATAGAACAGATGGATCCAGGGAAATGCACTGCTAAGGGGAGCCGCGGGTGAAACAGGAGAGGTCTGCTGTGCCATGTGGGTCACCTCCCTGGCCAGGGATTGAATTCGTGCTATAGTGGCTGCGGACAGCTTCATAGTTGTGTCTTAACCCCTTGTGCCACCAGGGAGGCCCAAGGCCATTAAGGTGTTTTGTTTTGGTTTTGGGTTTTTTTTTTTTTTTTTGGTTTTTTTGTTTTTCTGTTTTTTTGTTTTGTGGGACCCTCGCTGGTGGCCGGGGATCGAACTGGTGCTGCAGAGGCTGCGGGCAGCCTCGCAACCCAGCGCTCAACCGCTGCGCCACCAGGGGAGGCCCCAAGGCCATTCAGTTTTAAGAAAATGTTAGCAATCACTTGAAAATTGTTGCCATACCTCAAAATCATACCAAATAGAAATGCTCTATTTTCAGATAGCAGGGAAAAGCTGCATTCTAAGAAAAGGTTTTAAAATGGGGAATGATTAATCTTTCATTTTAGATAATTTTTTTCCCATTCTTCTCCAGGATGAAAATGGGATAAATAGACCAGTCTGTTCCTATGTTAAACCACTTCGAGCTGGGAGACTTCTGGACACGCCAAGGCAAGCAGCAAGATTTGTTAATGTTCTGGGTTATGAAAGAGCTCCTGTTATTGGAGGAGGAGGTAAACAGGAGCAATGGTGCACTCTGCTGGCCTTTCTCTGTAGAAACAAGGTATTCTACACATAAATAGAAATCAGTAGTAATAGATCATGGTTACCTGTTTCTAAACATTTGTGAAAAAAATTAACTTACAAAATGTTTATTGTCAACTTGAACAAGTCAGAATGCTTTCACCATTTTTCTTATTTATATGTCAATACATAAAGAAAAATTATAACATCTATTTTCTCATGTATTCTAGTCATGTGTTAAAATTTGATTAGATGATCCATCTTTTTTTTAAAAATGGCAGTACAAAATAAATACTGGTAAAAAATTCTTGGATTACATGGTATTTTGCTTAGTTTACATGTATGTATTGGTGGTGGACTGATTAACATCAATAAATTCATTTCATTAAACTAATTTTATAGGTTATGAGGTATTTCTACACTTCTGTATTCAGAAATGTTGAGAATATTATAAAAACAATCAAACTATCGTAAGTATTCCAGTTCTGTTGAAACAGAACAGAAAAATGTTTTGAAATAATGTTAGTCTTCTAAAGAGTATGTATATTCACGAGGCAACGCATACACAATGGAAGAAACCATTTAGATTAGTAAAGACTCATTTATCAGTTAGAAAGATTTTTTTTTTATTTAATATATTTTTCATTGGGACTCCCCGGTGGCGCAGCAGTTGAGCGCTGGATTGTGAAGCTGCCCACAGCCTCTGCAGCGCCAGTTCGATCCCCAGCCACAGGGTGAGGGTCCCACATGGTGCGCAGACCTCTTCTGCTGCCTGCTGCTCTGCTCAGCAGTGTATTTCGTCAGTCTGTTCTGCTCCCTGCTCTGACTCTGGTGAATTCTCTCACCCTCCCACGCTTCTGACTGTACCCAGTGCTTGTATAAATAAGTAAATAAATCTTTAAAAAATAATAATAATAATAATATATTTTTCATTGAACTACCTTTATTTTACATACTTGTTCACATTTTTCGCAATAAAGATTTCTCCCCACAGGTGTAATCACTATAGTTCTCCCACCACCAATTCACCTGTAATCTTCCACCATCATCAGCTGTACTCACCTCCTTTTCCTCCCTTCCCCTTTCTCCCTCCTGGATGTTTCAGATCTATGGTCAAGTGGTTTTTCAAGGGTTGGTTTTAATGTTTATCTTTAATCCATTGTTTGGTTTCTCTATATTCTACATATAAGTGAAACCATCAGTATTTATCTTAGAAAAATTTTTGTATTAAAGATAATTGAAAGCAAACATTTTTCCAAAAAGATTGTTATTTTCAAGCCATAGTTCTCAAAAGCTGTGTGTTGTATGGATTTAATGTTTTTATTTAGAATATAGTGTGGTAAATATTTAAGGTGAATGATTCTTTTTTAAAGCAAATAATCACCATTTTATTCACTATTTTATTTTGCTTACCCAACCTTGTTTGAAGACAAAGCACATCTTAAATTTGAAGCTTTAAGAAATTTTTTTTAAGATTTATTTATACATTTAAGATTTATTTATACAAGAGCTGGGGTGGTGGCCAGAGGTGGGGCAAGGGGCGGTGAGAGGATTCACCAGAGACAGAGTGGGTAGCAGAACAGGTGGATCTTCTGAAATACACTGTTGAGGGAAGCAGTGGGTGAGACAGGAGAGTACTGCTGCACTGTATGAGTCACCTCCCTGGCAGGGGATTGAACCCATGCTGCAGTGGCTGCGGATAGCTTCATAGTGCTGAGATCAGAACTCCTTGTGCTACCAGGGAGGCCCAGCTTTAAAATTATTTAAAGTATGTTCTTGTACATATAGTAGCATTGTAACAGTAAAGATGAAATTTTACCCACAATTGTGTTACCGATTGTCTTTTTGTTTTTCTTCTATGACTATTGTTTTTCCATAATTATAAATAAAACTTTGGGTGCTGCTTTATAATTTAGCATTATGATATGAATGTTTTCCCATGTGTTGTAAAACTTGACAATTTATGTTTTTTAATGTTGTTATATTTCTTGAGTTGATACACAAAATCTACTTAACTATTTCACCATTGTAGGAGCTGTTTATTTTGGTAAAGTTAGTCTTCCATTTTTTTTTTTAATCATTGTGACTGAAGTTTTGTATCTTTGGTGATTCTTTCTTTTGAAAATTTTTTTGTAGTGTAAGCTCTCAGTATAGAAGTTACCAGGTCTAAAATGTTAGGCATTACATTTTTCAAAAATCAGTTTTGTAATCACAAAACACTATTTTAAATTCTAATACTAGGCTGAATAGTTATTTTTCCTTTTTCATATTACCTATAATTTTACACTTAAGTACATATCTTCATTTAATTGTGCCTTCACATAATTGTTCCTTATGGTTTAATATCTTAATGATTTTTTTTCATAGAACACAAAGGTATTTTCTAGTTTTCTAAATTGTGAAAGTAATAAAACATCAAAGAGAATTTAGAAAATAGAAAATTCTATATAGCTCCTCTCATTATAGCCATTATTGGCACTTTGTTGTTTATCCCCCCAATCATTTTCTTGTATTTATCTATTTCCTTAAAATGGTCATGGGTAGGTAGATACTGTAACTCATTGTTTAAGTCTTGGGTACTTTCCTTTTTTTTTGCTGATTTCCTGCTGTTATATGATTTGTCAGCATGTCGTTTATTTATCTTTAAATCTTACTGCTTTTCTTTCTGTGTCATCTAGGGGTTTTATAAACTTTCAAATCCATATGCTTCCTCCTGAAGTGTACATTATGACTCAGAGTTGTGAACACTGACTTTGTAAAATAATTAGGCCTTTCTAAAATTAGTATTCTCTTTCCCTCTATTTAGCTTATCACTGGACTAATGATTAAAAGTGAAAAATTTAATTGTTATTTTATATTTAAATGCATTAGTATCCTGCCTTATCCGTGGTTTTGCTTTTCAAATTTTATTTACCCTGGGTCAACTCTGGTCTGAAAATACTACAGACAGTAAGATATTTTGAGAGAGATCACATTCACATAACTTTTATTACAGTATATTGTTATAATTGCTCTATTATTAATTATTGTTACAAATCATTTACTTTGCCTAATTTAGAAATTAAACTTTATCATAGGTATGTGCGTATAAGGAAAAACATAGTAATATATAGTGTTTGGTATTATCCTCAGTTTTAAGCAGCCACTGACAGCCTTGGGACGGTTTCCCCCTGGATAAAGGGAAACTACTGTATGTAACAAGGAACCTTATGAAGGAATACTTAATTTTAATTCATTGTATTTTTTTCTAGGGTGATTGTGAAGATCATGCCAACCTTCTGTGCAGCCTTCTTCTTGGATATGGCCTAGAAGCCTTTGTCTGTGTTGGGACTAAGGCAAAGGGAGTACCTCATGCTTGGGTTATGACTTGTGGAACTGATGGAACCATCACCTTTTGGGAAAGTTTAACAGGACACAGGTTAGTCCACTAAATTTACAAGGTGAATATGTTCATGTTATATTTATTTTTATTTAGGTAATGGTTTACATCATGGTTTGTATTTTGGCAATCTAGGGCCCCCAAGTCCCCTTCAACTTTTATTGCCATGGTTTACTCACCCCTTTCCTCCTCTTCCCCCTCTGAAATCCTCAGTTCTGTAATCAGTTTTCCAGGATTAGTTTTAAGTTTGGCTTTACCTATTCCTTTGTTTAGTTCTGTATTGTAAATGACACCATCCAGTATTTGTCTTTCTCCTTCTGATGTTCTTCACTTAGCTTAATCCCTTCCAGCTCTAGCCATGTTGCTGTGAATGGCATGAATTTTTCTTTTTTGATGCTGAGTAGTAGTCCATTGTATATAAGTACTACAGCTTCTTGAGCCACTCCTCCTCCATTTGGGGGCATTTAGGATGTTTCCCTATTTTTTGGCTGTTATGAATAGTTCTGCTGTGAACATGGGAATGCAAGTTTACATTTGATTTAGTACTTTTGTGTATTCTTTGGGTAGATAACTAGGAATGGGATTGCTGTGTTGTTTGAGAGATCTGTTTCCAGTTTTTTGAGGAACCTCCAAATTGTTTTCCTTAACGACTAAACCAGTCTACATTCCCACAAACAGTGCAAGAGAGTTCCTTTTTCTCCACATCCCTGCCAGCATTTGTTGTTTCTGGTGTTTTGATATGGGCCATTCTCATAGCTTAGATGGTGTATCTTATTGTGGTTTTGATTTGCATTTCCTTAATGATAAATGATGATAAACATTTTCTCATGTGCCTTTTGGCCATCTGTTTGTCTTCCTTGGAGATGTGTCTGTTAAGCTCTTCTGCCTATTTTTTGATTGAGTTATTTGTGTCCTTTTTTGTTGCGCTATATGAGTTCTTTATATGTCTTAGATATCAGTCATTTGTCAGATAGCTAGTGTGCAAATATGCTTTCCCATTCAGTGGGGTGTTTTTTTACTTTAGCTATGGTTTCTTTTGCTTTTGGAAGCTTTTCAGTTTCATATAATCCCAGTTGTTTATGTGCTCTTGCTTTCCATGCTGCTGGGGACAAATTTGCAAAGATATCACTGAGGCCTATCTTGCAAAGTGTTTTACCTATTTCTATGGTTTCAGGTTTTATATTCAAGCCTTTTATCCATTTTGAGTTGGTTTTTGTGTGTGGTGTGAAATAATGGTGTAGTTTCATTCTTTTGCATGTGGCTGTCCAGTTTTTCTAGCAATATTTATTGAAGATTTTTGTCTTGTTCCAATGTATCCTCTTGGCTACTTTGCCAAAGATTGACCATATAGATGTGGATATATTTCTGGAGTCACAATTCTATTCCTATGTGTATTTTTGTTCTAGTACCATGCTGTTTTAATTATTACAGCTTTGTAGTATAGTTTGAAGTCTTTTTTCATCAGGATTGCTTTAGCTATTTGAGATCTTTTGTGGTTCCATATGAAATTAAGTACTGTTTATTCCATTTCTTTGAAGAATGCCATTGAAGTTTTTATTGGGATTGCTTTGAATCTGTATAATGCCTTTGGGTTGTAGGGCCACCCTATCCATTAGAGCACCCTAATGCTCTAATCCGTGAGCAGGGAATAACTTTCCATTTCTTTGTATCTTCTATTTTAACAATGTCTTATAATTTTCTTTATACAGGTCTTTTACCTCCTGAGTTAGGTTTACTCTTCAGTATTTTTTTTGGTATGATTTTAAAAGAGATAATTTTCTTAATTTCTTTCTCATCTAGTTCATTATTCACATATAGGAATACAAAGATTTTTGTGTATTGATTTTATAACCTGCCACTTTGCTGAACTGATTTATTGTTTTAATGAATTTTTTCTGTGGCATCTTTAGGCTTCTTGGTATATATTATCATGTTGTCTGCAAATGATAGCTTTACTTCTTTCCCAATTTGGATTTCTTTTATGTCCTCTTGTCTAATTTCTGTAGCTATATAGTTCTATATAGTACTGGATTCTAATCGAGTACTATATAGAACAATAGTGGTGAGTGGACATCCTTATACCAAATCTTAGTAGAAAGGTTTTCAGTTTTTCAACATTTTGATGATGTTAGCTGTGAGTTTATTGACTTTTATTATGTTGATATAGGTTCCATTTATCCCCATTTTTGCAAGGGTTCTCATGAAAGGATATTGAATCTTAACAGGGCTTTTTTGGTGTCTGTTGATATTACATATAATTTTTATCTTTTTGTTGTTGTGTTGAATTATGTTGATTGATTTTTGGTTATTGAATCACCCTTGTGTTCCTGGTATAAATCCCTTTTGGTCATGGTGTATGATCCCTTTAATGCATTGTTGGATTCAAGATTTTATTGAGGATTTTTGTATGTCTTCATTAGGAAAATTGGTGTATTATTTTCTTTTTGTGTTGTAACTGTCTGGTTTTGGTATTACGATAATGTTGACCTCACAAAATGTGGAGTGTTCCTTCTCAATTTTTTGAAAGAGTTTGAACAGCATGGGTATTAGTTCATCCTTGAAGTTTTGATAAAACTCACTTGTGAAGCCGTCTGTTCCTGGACTTTTGTTTTTTGGGAGATTTTTTGATTATTGTTTCAATTTCCTTGTTCATGATTGGTCTGTTCAGGTTTTCTATTCCTTTCCCATTCAATCTCAGATGGTTGTGTAGTTTTAAGAATTTGTCCATCTCTTCTGGGTTATTAAACTTACTAACATGTAATTGTTCATAGTAGTCTATTCTTCGAAATTCTGTGGTTTCATAATTTTCAATTTTTCTGATCCTATTTGAGTTCCCCCTGCCCCCCTTTTTTTTTTTTTTGGTTAGCCAGAGGTTTGTCTGTTTTTTCATAGAACCAGCTTTTGGTTTCATTAACCTTTGGACTGTCTTTTTGATTTCCATTTCATTTATTTTTCCTCTAATTTTCAATAAATCTTTTAATCTGTTAATATAGTCAGATTCTTAGTTTATATTGATGGTACTGAAGGGCACACATTACTAATTTTAGTTTATTAAGGCCTTTCAGTGACTATATAAAAAATTAACTCAAGATGGGGCCTCCCCTGGTGGCGCAGCGGTTGAGCACTGGGCTGCAAAGCTGCCCGCAGCCACTGCAGCGCTGGTTCGATCCCAGGCCACCAGTGGGTCCCACATGGCATGCAGACCTCTCCTGCTGCCCGCTGCTCCCCTCAGCAGTGTACTTCGGTCCTTCTGCCTGTTCTGCTCCCTACTCTGGCTCTGGTGAATTCTCTCACCCTCCCGAGCTTCTGACTGTACCCAGTGCTTGTATAAATAAATAAATAAATCTTTAAAAAAAAAATTAACTCAAGAGAGCTATGTAAATGGGCTCTAAAGAAATTTATACACCCGAATATTCTATCCCAACATGATATTGGTAAAAAGAAATGTTTACTGTAAATTTTGTGTTGTTGACAAATGCTTTTTCTAACTACTATCCCTAAGCCTAAAAATAAACTTTTGAAATCTTGATTTCTTTTGAAAATTAATGTGGTGTCACATCAATTGTCCACAGAAAAATGTCCACTAGACATTTTTTCCTGTCCTTTTGCCTGTCTTCAGATTTTAAAAGAGTTGAAAATGCTCTCTTCCTCCATGTGTTTTCATTATTCCTCCTTGACTGTTCTCAATTCTCTTTGATCTTGTCTTGGAGTTCCTGGGCCTCCCTCGGAGTACAGGGGGTTAAGTCTCAGCACTGTGAAGCTGTCTGCATCCACTGCCGCAGGAGTTCAATCCCAGGCCAGGGAGTTAACCCACATGGAGCAGCAGACCTCTCCTGTCACGCCCTCTGCTGCCGTCAGCAGTATATTTCAATAGATGCACCTGTTCTGCTCCCTACTCTGTCTCTGGTGAATCCTCTCACCCCCTGCACCTCTGGCCTCTACCCAGCTCTTGTAAATAGTGGAATATCATATGGAAAAACTCTAGTATTAAATCTAGTATTAAATCTAGTATTTAATCTAGTATTAAACTCTAGTCCTGGGAAATAGTTATGCCCTTAGGTGTTAGAATAATATATTTCCTTTGGGTGATGCTGCCTTCATAATTTTTAATTCTTACATAAAATTATGATTCCATTTTTTTAGGTACATCCACAAATCTGCCAATCTTGATGAAGCGCCAGTTGCTGAACAACCCAAACCATTATATCCATATCGAACAATTGGTTGTGTTTTCAATCATCAGATGTTTCTGGGAAACTGTCAGCCTTCTGACTCAGTAGAAATCTGTGTATTTGATTTGAATGATGAATCCAAATGGAAACCCATGAGTGAAGAAGCAATTAAATCAGTTTGTGCTCCAAGAGCTATAACGTCCCTTCCTCCCTTTCCACCTCTGTGTGCATCCTCAATTGATGCTTCAGTAACAAGTAATGAGATAGAAATGCAGCTAAGGCTGCTAGTGTCAGAACACAGGAAGGTAATTAATACTGAAATTTTAAAAATTTTTTAAAAATGCTAGTTAGTATTATAGCTCTGAACAAAATAAATACAAACCCTATCTTTATGAAGTTTATAGTTTTGAAAGTTATGAGAGTTAAGATCTGAGACTTAAAAATTTCCAAATTCACCATTCTTTTATATAGTTGTTTACTTTCCTGTAAAAATAAAGAATGGTGAATTTGTTTAGACTTTGACAGAATACCAATATTTCACTTTTCTCTTTGTGCTTATTCAAGTCATTACTCATTAAAGGTTATGGATTATAGGAGCCTCCTTGGTGGCTAAAGGGGTTAAGCACAGCACTATGAAGCTGTCTGCAGCTACTGCAGGTCAGGGAGGTGACCCACATGGCACAGCAGACATCTCCTGTCTCACCCGCTGCTCCCTTCAGCAGTGTATTTCAGTCAGTCTGCCTGTTCTGTTCCCCACTCTGTCTCTGGTAAATCCTCTCACCCCCTGCACCTCTGGCCTGTACCCCAGTTCTTGTATGCATAAATAAATAAATCTTCAAAAAAAAAAAAAGATAATGGATTATATATATTTTTTCCAGGTTGGCTTTATTTGTTCTTCTGTTATACTAAATTGGGGAGATATAAAATAAGATCCTCATTTTTCATTAACATGCATTTCCCTGATTGCTAATGAGATCGAATCTCTTGTTTATTAGTCATTTATATTTTTTCTTATGTATCTTAAAGAAGACATAAAAGGCCTTAATTATAGAAGAAAAGATTAGTATATTTTAAGAACTTAGCCATTAAGATACTGAAAAAATAAGCCTGAAAGACATATACAAATAACAGAGGACTTGCATCCAAAAGTCCTGCAGAACATTCAATTCTAATTCACCTTCTGGATCTCCCCAATAGAAATGCCACCTTGGGTGATCCCTGTTTTATATTTCTTGAGGCCACCAAAGGCAAACTGATTTGTCAAGTATGTTGTCAGGGCTTCCTAAGAACATAATAAATTTGGCTTCTAAAATATTCCTTACTCATTAAGAGTATGTGTTTGAAAATAACCTGATACTTTATACAATATAATATAAAAATATGTGTTAATGACTATGTTATTGATAAGACTTTTGGGATCAACAGCAGGCTATTGGTTTTCTACTGTATAAGGAGTTGGTGCCCCTAATTCCTAAGTTGTTCAAGGGGCACTGTTTTTCACTACTTTTTTCTCTCTTCGTTGCTGTAGGACCTTGGCCTCACTACTGTTTGGGAAGACCAGCTTTCCTATCTTTTATCACCAGCTTTGGCTTCCTATGAATTTGAGCGTACAACAAGTATATCTGCAGGCAATGAAGAATTTCAAGATGCCATAAGGAGGGCTGTACCTGATGGTCACACATTTAAAGGATTTCCAATACATTTTGTGTATAGGAATGCAAGACGTGCATTTGCCACTTGTCTTCGGTAAAGTGGAATTTATGAATACTTAAATGTTTTTAGCTTAGGAATCTTAGCTATTTATCTGGTAGTTTTTTCAGGCGTGACTTCAGAATCACAGGGAGGAGCTTTTATAATAACTTGGCCTTTGTCATAGATTTCATTAGGTCTGAAATATTTCTTTAATTAGTCTGGGATAATTTTCCCATTGATTTTGATGCAATCTCAGTTTAGCATCTCGGATCTTGTAATTTTTTTTTTTAATTTATAGATTATAGGTAAATAGTCTATAGTTTGAATAGCTCAACCAAATTTAGTCATTAGTAGCAGAGATAAGGTTTTTTTTTTCAATTGAAATACTGACTTGGGAATGAGAAAGTATAACCTGTGTTCCCTTCTTAATTGAATACTATTTTTCTTTTGTAGGTCTCCTTTTTGTGAAGAAATAATCTGTTGCCGTGGAGACCAAGTGCGATTGGCAGTTCGTGTCCGAGTGTTTACTTACCCTGAATCTGCATGTGCTGTTTGGATCATGTTTGCTTGTAAATATCGCTCGGTGTTATAGGACTAACATTTCTATAAGAAAATTATCTGTATTTTGTTGGAATTTTACACATTGTACATTACTAGCAGTTTAGAGATTCCTTATTTTAAAATCACCGTCTGACTTGGATGTCATTTTTCAATTTTGTATATACCTGATAATGTTTGGAAAAAATCATGATGTGTGTATTTAAAAACTAAGAATGAAATAGTTGCATAAATCTGTGTGGAATTTAGTATAAATTAAGTGTATATTCTATTTTAATAATTGATACTTTTTACAGCTATTCAATAGTTTAAATATGAATATAAAATTTACTCAGTTTCCTTTACATTAACTGGTACTCAGATATTTGCCTAAGATTTGAGTCATAGTAAAATCAGTATAATCATTATTTTTCATAGAATAATGAAATTGTTTTTTGTACAAATTAGGAGAAAGTAGCTTTACAACAGATTTATTTATTACATAGGTGAAAATAGATTTTGGTGAATTTCCACTTTTGTGGTTTACCATGGCCATACTAATAGTTGTGACTTTCCAGAGATTGATGGGAAGACCTTGATGTGAGAGTAGGGAAAAGCTATTACCAGAAAAACAGAAATATGAATAGCAAAATAAAAATCATATGAGAGTACCTGAATAATTTATTTTTTTTTTTTTAAGATTTATTTATTTATACAAGCACTGGGTACAGTCAGAAGCGCTGGGTACAGTCAGAAGCGCGGGAGGGTGAGAGAATTCACCAGAGCCAGAGCGGGGAGCAGAGCAGGCAGAAGGACCGAGGTACACTGCTGAGGGGAGCAGCGGGCGGCAGGAGAGGTCTGCGCGCCATGTGGGACCCTCCTCCGGTGGCCAGGGAGCAGCCGGGGATCGAACCGGTGCGGCAGAGGCCGCGGGCAGCTTCACAACCCAGCGCTCAACCGCTGCGCCACCGGGGAGGCCCTACCTGAATAATTTATAAATATTTGGTAACTCGATTCATGTCAGTGAGTTGGTTATTTTAGAAAACATTTATCATATCCCTTTGTAGTATTATAGATACTGATAAATTGTTTCCTGTAATAGTGGAAATCTGTTGCTGATTTTCTCTGTGTTCAAAGAATTCATTAGTAGTCTTTTCATGGGTTCTGTCTTCTCAAACTACATCTTTTTCTCTTTTTTTTTATTTTGCTAAAACCATCAGCATCTGTTTGGCTAATCTAAATTAGAATCATTGTGTGAGGTCATGAACAACATGTACGTATTCATGTGTGAATGACTGCATGCTGATACTTGTTTTACAAGTGAGCTGGTTTTAAAAATGAGAAAAATAAGCATTAAAAGGACTATAGCTACTTCACTTTTTAAAAGAAGCTTCATGGCTTAAGTGACTGGTTGGATTGTCCATTCAGCATCTCTGTGTGTGGTTCTTATTTCATTTGTTTCATTATTTGGTCTTAAGAAAGTAACTGTTCAGTTGGCTGTGCAAGTAATTCTTTCCATCACTTTATTTCACCATTTAAAGTAAAAGGATTTAATGATTTAAATTATCTGTTAAATTACATGCCCTAAAAATTTATTTTTATTTTTATATATGTTAAATATTATTTAATTTGTTTAAATGTTTGAAAAATAACCATTTTCTGTCAGTTTTCATTGAAGCAATAATCAGATATTTCTTGTGAGATTAACATGACTTTAGAGAATTAGCAAAATAAGAATTAAGACATTTTTACTCTTCCCAAAATTATCCATGCAACTGTCAACAGAGAGAATTGCCTATAATTTTTAACTTTTGGAACCAGTTATTTATGAGGCACTTATTAAGAGGCAGACTACATTAAAAAACAAGATTGTATTACTAAAGCCAGACTTCCTGCCTTACTATATCAGAATAACATGTATTTTTGATGTGCCATTGGTATAAGTTCTAAAATAAATTTGCTTTTTGTGCACTTTAATAGAATTTGTCATGAATTAATATTTACTCTAGATATAATTTATTCCAATAGTATTTCAGTGCATTTATCCATAGAATTCTGCTGTATCCTTTGACAATTAAATTTACTGTGTATATTTAGCTGTGTTATAAAAGCTGTTTTTCTATTAAAAGTATAAAATGTTTATTATGTCTCTAATGAGTTCTTTTTGACAATATGTGCACTAATGTTGTCCTCTATATATACATATAGACATATATCTATGTAAGTATTTATTTAATAGAAGACTATCAGGTACCTAGAAGTTTGATTACTCAAGCTTGAACCTGTTGAATAAAAATTAATAAATTCAGTTCCAACTAAACTTAACACCCAAGAGCTTTTACATTTTTTTCTAGTGTTGAAGTTTATGTTCAATATAATCAGCAAAACAAAACTGTAACCTGGCAGTCCTGAATGTACATATGTTTGAAACCTGTTTCTTAACAAAGACAAGATTTGAATCAAGGTGTAGGCTTTAAATTTGTAAAGAATATTATTCTTAAAGTATGCAATGCCAGATATATGACCATCAAAAGGCAGTATATAAGAACCATCTACTTTTGCTTGAACTAATTCATTAATGCTTCTGATTGCATGCTCTACTAAACAAAAGTATAGTTTAGGTTAGACTACAGTTTACAATTTCATAACTTTTTTCTTTGACTCTCAGATAATAATTTCGTACTCTCCACTTAGGTAGATAAGTACAGGAATTAGATGGTCTATTTTATAATATTTATACCAGTGAAAGTGGCATTGCTTTCCAGCACTTAACAGTTGAGCAATAATTTGAGATTAGCTGAAGCCTATGCAAAATCTTAAGCAAAATAGCCAAATACATAAACAAGAAGCCATCCAATTCGGAAGAACTTAACATACTGTTTATAGCATAATCTGTTCAAGTTCAGTTATTTTTTTTTAAGATTTGTTTATGTATACAAGAACTGGGGTACAGGCCAGAGGTGCAGTGGATGAGAGGATTCACCAGAGACAGAGTGGGGAACAGAACAGGCAGACTGACTGAAATACACTGCTGAGGGGAGCAGTGGGTGAGACAGGAGAGGTCTGCTCTGCCATGTGGGTGGCTTCCTGGCGGGGGATCAAACTTGGATGCTTAGGCCACGGATAGCTTCACAGTATTGTGCTTATCCCCTTGCGCCACCAGGGAGGCCTTCAAGTTCAGGTTTAATCATTAATACCTTTAAACGTGATTAATATTCTGAGATTTGGTTAGCATAGTCATTGGAATTACATTTGATTTATTTTTGGCTTGTGAATTAGCTACTTGACCAGTGTTGATAGTCATGAATCTTAAAAGGAGAGTAAGACCTTTTGCGGCCAAAAATGAAGTTCAATCCCTTCGTGACTTCCGACTGGAGCAAGAATCGTACAAGGCATTTCAATGCATCTTCCCACATTCGTAGGAAGATCATGTCTTCCCCTCTTTCCAAAGAGCTGAGGCAGAAGTAAAATGTCCATTCCAGGCTCATCCAGAGGGATGATGAAGTTCAGGTTGTTCGGGGACATTATAAAGGACAGCAAATTGGCAAAATAGTCCAGGTTTAAAGGAAGAGCTATGTCATCTACATTGAAAGAGTGCAGCGGGAGAAGGCAAATGGCACAATCGTTCATGTGGGCATTCACCCCAGTAAGGTGGTTATACTAAAGCGGGACAAAGATGGCAAAAAGGTCCTAGAACGCAAAGCCACATCTTGCCAAGTAGGAAAGGAAAAGGGCAAACACAAGGAAGAAACAATTGAGAAGATGCAGGAATAAAATAGTCTTATATACAACTTTCATTAAAAACTGCTAAAATGAAAAAAAAAGCAAAAGAAAGTTATTAGCTATCAATTTGAAAGATTGCTTTCTCTGATTCTACTGAATTTAGAACTGTACTAATACTCCAACAGAGCTGTTTCCTAGATTTTGTGGGTATGTGCACACAGCCAAGTGCTTGGCACAAGAAGCAAGAAATCCTTGACACATTCTTGCACACAAACATACCTTACTGGACTGTGAAAAATCGCTAAGACTAAGTGGCATTTCATAGGCGTTCAACAACCTAGGGTTTTTGAAGGTAGCTAGTTTGGGGGGCTTATATTTTGCATATGTTGAGAACTAGAGTTTTTACTACCATTATATGTATGCTGTTTTTACATTTGATTTAATCTTTTATGGCCTAGAATTACAGAATTTTGGACTTGAAAGGAATCTTAGTTCCTGCAGTTCACTTAATTTATAGACTAATAAAATGGAGCACCAGATAAGATCCCTGTCCAAGGGAACATATCTCTTGTAGCAGATCAATTCTAGAATTTTGTGTTTACTTCTTTTTGCTATATCTCTGTGTGAACAAATCTGAATTTGTCTCTTGCCTTTCATTACATTTATTTAGCATTATTACAGATAACCAAATAACCATCCAACAAACAGTATGAAAAAATTTTCATGATGCCATAGCTGCTGTCTCCCCCCATTAAAAACAAAGTGCTGCTTACTCCTCAAGCCACCATTTCAGTTTTTCATTCCTCATTTGGTCATTCTACCCAAAAGGTAGAAATACAGAAAGGTATATATCCCTTATTATACATAGCCTATCAGAAGTTATAATAGGGGTCCTCCCTGGTGGCCTAGAGGTTAAGTCTCAACACTATCATTGCTATGGCCTGAGTTCGATCCCCAGCCAGAAAGCCAACCCATATGGCGCAGCAGACCTCCTCTCTCGTCCACTGCTCCCCTTAGCAGTGTATCTCAGTAAAACCGCCTGTTTGGCTCCCACACTCTTATTTCTGGTGAATCCTCTGCCTATACCCCAGTTCTACACAAAATTAAAATTTTTAAAAAATCAAAAACAAAAGTTAGCAATAATACATAGAGTATTGAGTCACTGACAGATGGGCAAGAATTACTTTTTAGGGAGGATAGCCTTAGGAAGATGAGCCCCTAAAAGAGGAGAGAGCTGCTTAAGAGTCCTTGTGTTGCCAATAATACAGAATTCTATTTGGATACCTAAGAGTGATTCAGTGGATGGCTAAGGACCTGGGATAGTGTACTAATGCACATCCAGAAAATGTTTTAGTCATGTTCACTGAAGCCTTTATCTGCTCTTCCCAGTCCCTAACCTCTCCCAATCCCCAGTCTTAAGCAACCAATAATCTGCTTTCTATCTAGATATCCCTATTCTGGACTTTTCCTTGAAAGGAATCATGAAGTACATGGCCATTTATGACTAACTTCTTTCACTTAGTATATGTAGCTACAGTTATATATCAGTTTGCTAGTATTTTGTTAAAGATTTTTGTATCCATATTCATAAGACATACTTGTTTGTAATTTACTTTTCTTCTGATGTCCCTGTCTGGTTTTGGTATCAGCTTAATATTACCTACTTCTGGTTTTTTGGAAGGCAGCTATACTTACCAATATACCAACAATGCTACTTCTGTTTTTTGAAAGAATTAATATCAATTTTTTTTTTTTATTTAGTAAAAAGCCCTCTGAGCCTGGACTTTGTGAGTAGTTTTTATTTTGTTGTCTTTTTTTTTTTTTTTGGTACTCATTCAATTTCATCACTATCCAGATCTATTTCTTCTAGAGTCAGTATTGATAGTTCATGTCTTTAGAAATTTTTCCATTTTATCTTAGTCATCTGATTTTAGTTTATGGTTGTTTATAATATTCCTTTAGAATCCTTTTTATTTCTCTAAGTTCAGTGGTAATATGTCCCCTCTTTCACTTCTGGTTCTAGTAGAGTCTTCTCTGTTTTCCTGTCTTTTTTGTTGATC